ACAAGCAGTTAAACCACGAAAAAAGGTGGTTAAAAGTCGTGGGAGAGCGGTTTTAAGCACGATCAAACGTGCTGATAACTGCCTCTTCGGCCGCGGCAGCTTACACTGCCGCGCCAATAGCCGCGGCAGTGTAGACTGCAGCGGCCAAAGAGAAAACGGCCAGTCAGTTATTTCGCCTCCGTTTCAACTGTGGTGCACTGAGAGCCCTATAAATACCTCCCTAGGCACGAATTAAAGGAGAGGAGAGCATTTTTGGAGCAGAAGATACTTGAGTCTTTGGTGATTTTGAGAAAGAAAGAGAGAATTTTCACCCTCTGACAAGCATCATTTGGTGAATCCTAGAGATCTAAGCTCAGACTTGATCTTTGGAAGAACGGACATCTTACATCGATAAGATATTCGTTTTCAAATCTTTACTTCGATAAACGAAGGAGAGATCCTTAAACAACCTCTCGATCTACGAATCGGTGGTCCACGAACTAAAGCATTCCCGGCACAGGCAAAATCCCACAAAAGCAGGAGTTGATAAACAATTTCTGTGTTATTTTCTCGAGAGTTGTATTTTCTTTTATTTTCATTGTAATTCTTTGTAAACGATCGAAGTTTTAATGGAATCTGCAATGGAAACAACTTTCGCTGAAAACAAAAGATGCTAATTTAACCTAAATTCAATTCCGCCGTTTTCGGCAAAGCTATAGTTTTACCTTAGCCCCTCGTATTATCATTATTCTCAATTTACTGCATATAATTTCATTAATGAAGATATCATACACCCCGAGGTTAAACTTTGCCAAATATTGGCCCTAAGTAGTAGGGCTGGGCATATTCGGTTCGGTTCGGTTTTATTCCCAATTTGCATCCAATCCGAATTTTTCGGATGTTCAAAACTCTCATCCAGATCCAGATTTCCCCCCCTTCATCCGAATGTTCGGCCCAACTGAAATTCGGTTCGGTTCGGTTCGGTTTCGGTTTTGAATTTGCAAAGAGTTCTATCCAAAGACTTCTGTTGTGAATTTGCAAGCTGGGCATTGTCCTCATGATGAGGTTCCTGAGCTCGCCAACAAAGCTTTATTAGACTGGTTATCATCTTTAGAATAAAGTTTTGAGTTGATATAATTACGCAGAGAACTGATGTTTTAAAGATGTTGTTCATATAATACAACATGCTTATCTCTTGTAAGTATCATGTACATAACACATTTTGTGATTGATTTGAATCTTATGTAATTCTCAAGATCTTTTCTGCGAAATTTTTTAACTAAAGTTTAAGTTTATTTAATTACACGGGGGAGTGATGTTTTGTATGATATTGTTCATATAATGTAGCATATGCATCTTTTGTAAGTGCATCATGTGCATAACAAATTTTCTGGATTGATTTGAATCTTTACTTAGTTCTCAATGATATTTTTCTGTGATATTGCTGTACTCATTGCTTGAAACTGCTCCTTGCGTCGTTTGAATCTATTGGATGATAACAGGAAAAGTTTTGAGGTATAAGTTTAGTCTCTAAACCGCCCAACAAAATTCGGGTCGGTTTTTTTTGGGCGGTTCAGGGGTTCAAACCGGATCCAAACCGATTTAATTCGGTTCGGGCGGTTTAGAGACTTCTTCTCATCCATTTAATTCGGTTCGGTTAACCAGTCCGTTTTTTCGGGCGGTTTTTTCGGTTGAACCGGTTTTTTTTGGTTTTTGCCCACCCCTACTAAGTAGAACTAGTGAGTCTATCTAAGGGTACCCAAAAGAGTCAATCAGTTTAATCCAGGAGGTAAATATGCAACAATAATACTACATGGATGATAAGTTCAAAACAATGATGTTGCAAGGGTTCTCTGTTTAATCTCAATCCAAGATCTATTTTTGGTAAACTATGGTTTAAATTGGGCTAACTGCACACAGACCCTTCTAAATGTAAGATAGAAGATGATAATAGTTTCTCAATGAAATGAGAAGGGGCGCAAATAAATATGCATGATTGGATTAAATGAGGTGGCTAGGTACAATAACCAAGCCATTACTTGTTGAATGTGAACTATTTGAAATTGAACCCAAGTTCTGCTAAGAAATTCTTTAAATACAGTTTTTTTTCCTCCTCCTTATTTGATATAAAATATGACGTATCGAAGACAATGGCCTATTGAAACTTGAAGCCTGTAACCTTACTTTATTCAGCTGACACTAAAAGGTCCATGATCCTTTCCATGATAGTTTTATTTATTTTATCTTTAAGAAATCCATTGAGAAACTTGTACGCGTCAATACCAAAAGTAGCTTTTATATATTACATGAAAAAGAAAATAACAGAAAGAAAAAGAGAAGAAGAAATAAAAAGATTTGTTGTTAGCTGGCGTCATCAATTGATCAAAGAAGAATAAAAGTTGGAAGTGGAATAGATGCATGTCAGCATGTGGGCTTTTTTAGGTTTTGTTTAGCGTCAACAAGTGTAAACATTCACACATGAGTGCATGCGTCTATTATTTGTATATTTATATTGTTTATTAATTTGGTAAAAAATATGTCCAATGCTTTACTTAATTTGATTTGCTTGTAATGCATGGATCCAAATTGCAATATTGAAGCATTTGTCTCGATGAAACTCAAATAAAAAATTGAGAATCAATTTGATTTAGAAGGTTAAGGTCCACACGCACTAGTACAAAACAGGTTTTTGGGGATGAATTTTTTGACGCTGGGTTGAAAATTTTAGGGAGAACGGATCAGAAAAACGACTTTTAATTTTTTTTTTAAAAAACCCAACATAACTCCCAAATGGTTTTAACCGTTTAGGCTAAGATATCCCAAACGATTTAAACCGTTTGGGACCTCTGTTTGGGATTTTTTTAATAGCCTAAACAGTTTTAATCGTTTGCGTTCATTACCCCAAACGATTTGAACCGTTTGGGCTATTTCGACTTATTCAAACGGTAGCAATAACCGTTTGGATTGTGCTATTTTGTACTAGTGACCCATTGACCTCTATTTAACTGTATTGCTCCTTTAAATATTTTTATTTATGACTACACTCAGATATGAATTTCCAACGAACCCTTTCTATATCTGTGTCATTATATTTCAATCATCCATCAAAAAGAATTCGTGGCATTTGTTAATGTTTGTTCTAAAATAAGAATATTCAAATAATATTTTATTTTAAAACATAATTGGATTGGTTTATCCAAGAGCATCCTAGAATTCAATATCTCTTTCACCAAAGAAAGAATACAATCTACTCCATCCTGAAAATGCGAAAATAATTATGGACAATCATCATTATCCAAATCAAAGTCAATTGTGAAACCCAACAATTTTGTGAAGTATTTTTTTTTTCCAGTTTTGGCATCACTAGAGCTAAACCAGCGACCCCCCTATTTAAGTTTTCATATTATCATGCTTTTTTTTTTTTCCTCTTTCTTTTTTTTCCTTCCTTTTTTTAAAATTTTTTTACCCCAACTTAGTTGAGGGACATGCATATTACTAAATGATGATCAAAGGAAGTCATAAAGCAAAGTTGAGGTCTCCAATCAATCATGAACCGTTGGAAAAGGGATGTCGTTTGCCCAAAGAATCAATGCTCGCTTCGCTTACGGATCAAACTTCATTTAAAACATAGCCATTATCTTAATTCCCCTTATTTACTTCACAAAATAATCTTTATCCCATCTCATGATCAAATAATAATGAAATTATAGGAAATTAGTTGCACAAACTTGATACTGCATATCGGCCAACTTACCGAACCTTTAATTTTTTTTTGAGAGATTTACCAAACATATCAATTAAATTTGAAACCAAAGAATATTGACAAGTTTAGTGTATGGCTATTATATTGTTATTATTATTTTTCAGGGGATAAGCTTAACTGTCATCCTTTTTCTTTGTAATGTTTATATCAGTTCATTTCTCTGACTAAGCTATGAAAATTTGAGTCTTATCTTTATTGTTAATTTGTCTCTAACGTTTAGATAAAATAAGCTAAGTATAACGTTATATATTTTAAATAATATTAGTGAAAATTCATTATGCTTGTAATATCCCACTTTCTTAACTACAATCGTCAAATAGAACTAAAGTTCTTGCAATTTATTCCTCATATGACTACTATCATATCTGTTGATATATTAGTATTAGTTAGGGACTTATTTGTAAGTTGTGTAGGGACCTATATAAAGCCCAAGAGAAGCTGAGGCAGAGTATAGAGCTATGACCTTAGGAGTTGCTGAGTTGCTATGGTTGAAGAGTATGCTGGTTAAGCTGAAGCTGGATCAAGGAGCTAAGATGAAGTTGTGGTGTGACAACAAGTCAGCCATCAGTATCACCAACAACCTAGTGCAGCATGATAGAACCAAACACATCGAGATCGATAGGTTCTTCATCAAAGAGAAGTTGGATAGCGGACTACTGGAGTTAAGTCATGTTTCGACTAAGGACCAGGCAGCAGATTGTCTGACTAAAGGACTTAGCTCAGTAGATATGATTAGAGGATGTGACAAGATAGGCTTAGTAGATATCTTTCGCCCATCTTGAGGAGGAGTGTTGATATATTAGTATTAGTTAGGGACTTATTTGTAAGTTGTGTAGGGACCTATATAAAGCCCAAGAGATCTCATAATGAATTAGGGTTTTCATATTCTATAAGTTCTATTTTATCATCCTCTCCTCCAAGCTAAGAAAAGCCAAAAAGGAGTGAAAAAGTAAATCCGAGTGCTATGAGGCTCTTCTATTGTAGGGTTGGGAAATGTCATGTATAAGAAACTTTACCCTCTCACGTTGCACGGTCTGCTTATTTTCAAACTGGGACCATCAAGGTCACAATGAAGCAAAGTTAGTTGCAAGGCTCATTTTCTAACTACTGAATGAAAGAGGGTTTAATGGGCGTTACTTCTCTTGGTCCTCTCTGATCCATATTTGAATGTTTCGAAATCAAATTTGAGGTACAACAGTAATTTCTTTCTCTTTTTATCCAGTTGACAATTCATGGAGACTTTTTAAAATAGTCCAGAAAATTTAGATCTATTCTAACAGATATGCATATTCCGTTGGATTGCATAAAATAACAATGCAACAAGCTGATATTCACTTTCAAGGATCAAGTAGAAGGAAAACAAGGTAGAATTAATAAATGATGTTGGCACCTTCTGAACACCCTGGTTACAAGCATATACCAAAGCATCTGCAAGTGTAAGCCTTCCCTCGGCATCAGTATTATTCACCTAAAAGATAAACAACGTTGAAAAGTGAGAAGTTTAGTGTTAAAAAAACGAAAATGGTTTTCGTTCAATGAGAGAATAAAAGCATATACAAAAAGATATCTGCTTAGGAGGTTTATTTAACATATAAATATATCATACTATACATAGGCACCGTTATGCGCTTCTTTTTAGTTTTCTTTTCTTTTCTTCTTTTTTTTCCTTCTTTTTTTAGTGAAACGGTGAGCAACTGCCCCCAATGTTCCATTAATTGTGCACTTTTGACTATCAGGGCTTTTTCTAATTTACTGCCATGAAAGATAACCCATATAAGCAATTTTCACAGGTAACAAAGTCAATTACATTAACTTGACTAGCATAAAAAGAGCACAACATGAGGAAAAGAGTTGGAAGGCAACTTTGGCCGATACGCATGTGGAATAGATATGAAAAATAAAAAGTCAATATTACATGCAGGTTTTAAATAGGGAACCAGAAAAGATAATCTAAATAAACTGATGTACAGAATTGAAACTAGGATTAAGAGAAAATATTGCAGTTTCTAATGGTTTTTGATATCTAACAAACTGGCAATTACCTGAATTTATTGCTACAATATTAAAACCTAAAAAAATTGGGCCTAGAAGTCACCCTAGAAAGGAAAAGATAAAAGGTTATCCTTTATATTATGTGTTAAGAAATTTTATGTATGATAAAAACTTTGAAACAAAAAGACAGATATCCATTTATGGTATGTTGTAGGTGGATGCTGCCAAAGATACAGCAACTAAAGCTTCTAAATGCAATGGTCAATTAAAATACACAGAAAGATAATAAAAAATTATTTCTCATAGACTGCTCTCACCAACCATACTCTTCTTATGACATATAAACTCAAATTGCAAGCTCATAAAGGCACCGAGGACGGAAAGAACAGTAAAACGCACATATTCAACTAACTTACCTCAATTGTCTTTCCATTAGAAGCTGTGACTATGTCACCGGGTCTCATGCCTGTTCCACTTATCATATTTTCACAGGCAGCAACAATGAAGTGGACCTAAAATTGCAAAAAGAAAAGTTGAATGGCATTCAGTAATATAATCGCCTATTCACCTATCGGACATTTAAAACATAGACACTTAAAAATCTTACCTCTACCCCTGGAGGCTTAATTTGACCGATGGCTTTTGCTGCACCAAAAACAGCTGCAGAACCACCCATGTCAAATTTCATTAGCTCTATCGAACAGCCTGGCCCAGTCTTTATGTTGTAACCACCACTACAAGAGAAAATCAGCCATTAAACTTCATAGATCGTGGTCAAGCTCCTCCATGAAGTGAGTCAACCCATAAAAACTAGTCAACTAAGATATGTAATCAAAAGAGTCCTTATTCAAGCAGAGGATAAAATAACGGTTGACAAATTTATGCGGATTAGAATTGAAAGAGCAAGCAAGAGTCACTAAGCTGCTCCTTTATTTCTAAAATTTGGACCATCTAGAAAACACTGTAGTACCTGTCAAATGTCAGTCCCTTCCCAACTATTGCCAATTTTATTTTTGCATCACCATTTGGTGGTCTATAACACAAGTGGATGAAATGAGGAGGGTTTGACGATGCAGCAGCAACACCCAGGTATGAACCCATTTTCAACTCAGCACACTGGTTTGCATCTAATATTTTAGCAGTAAGAACATCACTATACGAAGAAGCAACTTTTGAAGCCTCTTCAGCCAGTACACCTAAAAGACAAAAATAATCAAGATAATCATCATTGCCTTCACCTAAACAATGTAACTGAAAGAGAAAATCATGAAAAACAACAACAAAAATCAATCATGAATACCCACTCATATTTCTACTTCATAAGTCAACAAATTGAGTCTTAACTAACCAGGGGTAAGCACATTGGCTGGTGCATTTACAAGCTCCTTCCCAAAAATCACTCCAGAGCAAACATCACTTGCATACTTCAGCTTCTTATCTAATTGTGCTCCAGAACCCAAACCAATGATATCCATGGATTTAAGCAGCGCCTTTTTTGACTCGGATTTGAACCTGTTATCTTCGTGAACTCCTAGTACAACTCCTATGCACCAAAATAACAAGTTGAAGTTGTTAAAATTCCAATCCAATAATATATGGTGGTCTAAGTAGTAACTAGTGAATCTTGTTGTCCATGTAATCTGTCACATCCACAAACTTAGTATGAGCAACCTTTTGACCAACTTCTATGAATTATCTTTGCAACTAGAATGAAAAATTATTACGAAGAAACCGGATAAGATGATAACTGCATAATAATGTTTTATATTAACATGGTAAAAAATTTTAGGAATTCAAATATAGAACTCTTTGTAAAATATTTGGGAAGAAATCACAAAAACTCTACAGTAAATGCAATGCCAAATTGCATGGATAACTAAATGATTTAGTTCAGAAGGAACAGTGAGAAGAGGATAAATGCGTAGCCATGGCTTACATTAATATGACAAGTACGATTCTTAGAACTAATGAAACCACAATTCTTGTAGAAAATTTTGCAAACTAGCTTCATGGTATCTGTGTGTTTGTCTTTGACTCTTCATACCGGCATGTATATTATATACAATACAAGGAATGATGTAAAACTGTCATGCCTATATCTTAGGGCATGCAGAAGGACAGAATAGGAAGATAGATACTGATAAAAAATATGCAAACGCAAATGAAAGACATATGCAACAATCTACTGGTATGCGAAAATAAGTAACCAGACCTGAATCCCATTTAGGAATTAATTTATCTTTTTAAACATGGATACACCTTACTTGATATGTACCAAAATCTTTTTTAGCAATGAGAGTACAATATCTCCACTTGTACATGCTAAAAGAAAACAAATATAAATGCATAAATCCACTTCCTTCTTCATCTATAACACTATATACAGGTAGTAATATAATCAGGAATAGTGAATGAAATTTAAGATTCTGTTGTACAGTTATGAATATACTCGACAGCAGAGAATAAGTTTAAATGCTGTGAAATTTCAAAATTGTGATAGATAAAACTTCAAACTGTTTGAAGATTTCAGTTATTCGTACATCGTTATGCTCATGGTGCCATGCAAATTTTGAAGATCGTGATAAATAAAAGTAACCTGATGCAATTGCTGAAGCGGCTTTAAGCTTGGACTCTTCAGAAGTTTCCTCTGAGGATGCGAGAAAAATAGCAGCACTGCTTGCTTGGGCAGACTTTGCAGCTGCAGCAACAGCTTCTCCTATGCCTCGATAGGTAGCAGTGGTGGCAGAAAGTGAACATGATCCAAGCCCAACAAGGCCCAATCTTCTAAAGCCCAAGCCCTGGAGTCTTAGAACCATCGATTGTCCAGCTTTTCCAGCAAACTCCTCCTCTGAGGAAGCCTCAGCGAGAAGACCACCAAGTTTGTCATCTAGCTTTTTCAAAATTGGATTTTCGAACTTGAAGTCAGAGCCTTTTGACATATCTTTCTCTGAAACAGCAACGGCAAGTATGTCTCCTTTCCATTCTGCAAAATCTAACTCCTTTGCAGCAAACGCAATCTGCAATACAACGTTATATAAAGGATGAAATTACTTGTCTTAAAGAGGATGAAAGTAAAGGTCAAGTAGCAAAATTATGGCGAAAATCTAAATATTATCACTTGCAAAATGATCGAGACTGTAAAGTGTACTTTATGCAAAACATATATTAGATAATCAAGACGTCAATTACCAAGCAAATGCCCCACAAGAATAGCGGTGATCGGAAAAAAAGAATCTCTGCCTAAAGTTATGATAAACTTGAAAAAATGGGTAAGGTTCAAAGAATAAATTCTGGTAGAATAAAATAGGAAAAAAAATCTACATATCCAAAATTCAAGAGCATTAAAGCTTAAGCAAAGCACTTATTGTAGTGAAGGCATACTTTATTTATATGAGAGTAGTATGGAAAACTACCAAGCACACAAGGGTCCATGGCATAAAATGTGCACCAAATGAATATCAATGCTTGGATCATTGGATTTCAGGATTCGTGAGTAGATCCAAGGGTTGACGTACTTTGGTGCTCATTTTATGCCATGAATCATCTCCACCGGATACTTTCTCAGTACAAGGTGGAATCCTTTTGAAATAGTTGCCAAGTGTTTATCATGAGTGACCATGAAAAGTGACAAACGCTAAACATTTTGCTTTCAACCATTTGGTAAGGGGAAATAACAAAATTTATCTTCTTCATGGAAATGCCTTCCTGAAATTTGTAAATCAGAAACTTCGTTCATGAAAATCTGACCCCTCCAAATCTCGCTTACGAAAACTGGGTCGATCGAGTCTTCTATGTTGGGGGCAGTAGAAAAGAAAAAGCCCATCATGTCAAGTTCGCAACTTTTCTTATGATCCAACAAGAATCACTAGGTCTCAGATCATCTCAAGTCTAACAAGGTCTAAACTTTAATAAAGCATATGTAGAAATAATCTCAATACGTCATATGAAATATATTAAAGTACTAACTATTAAAGTATCAAAATTTCCAGCTAAGTAATCCGACCGGATGCTGATCAACCTATTTCCCCAAAGCAATCAGATCTTCCCAAGATCCGACTTATAAAAGATGGAATCTTTAGGTCAGAAATTGAAAAACCACAGTGTACTTATTCTTTGAGACATATCACCAAACAGTTAGTCAACCAGTGATCGAGAGTAGGAACAAGACCTGAGGAGCTTCGACGGCGGCGGGCTTCGTGAGGCCGAGAGTGGCCATGGGAGCTCGTCGGAAGTTGGCGATGCGGCGGCGATCACGGCGGCGTAAATCAAGAGGCTCTGCTCGATTATGAGAAGGCGGCAGCAGCGAAAGCTAAAAACGACGGCCGTCCCCTGATCCCAATGGGTCTTTTTTATAGGGAGTTTTCCCACGACGCCCCTGAAGTGGGGAGATTTTTTTCAAAAGGACCCTTAGAACTCTGGGTAGTTCGAAAAGATACCCTTGGATTTTGGCTTCTTGACTCCTTCACAAAAACTCTATAATACTTATTTCAAATGGTACACCATTAGTCCAAAATCTCCTCTCTTTTTTTTTGATAAAACTTGGGTCTATACTTTGGCCTAGTTAAGAAGAAGACTAGTTCTATTTTGAAATTGTCAAACACACCTTAAGCACTTCAGATATTTTGACTTCTTGACATAAACATCTAACACTCAATGTACCCTCATTGAATTGCACTGATTCTTAATTTGCACTCAAACAAAATCTTAATCATTCATAAGAGAAGAAATAATTGTGATAATGTAATAACCTCTCTGCTTTTCTTTTCTTTTTCTTTTTTTGTTTTTTGGATAGGGAGAGGATCCGATTTGTTTAAAAATATTTAGTTTATGGACAAATACTTGTCACATCAACATATTACATGAGCTGAGCTTACTTGTAGATTAGGAGCATAATACTTTTGAGTTGAGATCACTGAAGAACAAGTGCAAAAGCGATGCAGTCCTCACTTGATTAGCTCGAGTTGAGTTGTCTTATAATTTTGTCACGGGAACATGAAAGCATTTGATAGAGGCTCATCGTACACTTTCTTTTGGGCTTATTTGCAACAAAGATGGAACCCCCACATGATTTAATGATACATCTTAAAGAATCTAATTAATTATATTGATTTGATATGCCAACATAGTTGCTTGCAGTCTAAGCAAAGTCGATGTCTCTAAATGTAGATTATAAATAGGATTTTTTTTTCTCTCTCGTGTGTTAGACCCTAGAGGGGGGTGATTATGGTCTATTGCTAATTTAATCCGATTTTATGCAAATTAAAACTAATAACAAGTTATCCTAGCAAGTATGAAATACAACAAGATATATGAGCTAGGATAAGCAATATGAACAAAGAGATATATCCTAGCAATAAGATATACTATGAGATTTGATGTTTTGACATAAACAATGTTTTGAAACCCTATGAAATAATTTTATAGACTTAATGAAATATGTATACAATGATTGTTAAGTCCATAACCAAAACTTGTGTATATATATAACTATATATATATAAACCAAATATGTGTGTGTATATATGATTGAGCTTAAAGTACTAACACACATAATATAAACATAAACTAATGTTACCCAAGCTTGATCTTGATCTTCATTGTAGCTCAACTTGGTAAACTTTGTGGATGAAGCTTGGACTTGAATCTTCAACTTGAATTGCAAGGCTTCAACCACTATTCCACCAACCTCCATTTGATATGATCGTTATGGCACAATTCCATCCATCCTCCAACTCGTTGTTTGTCTATAATAAATAAAAACATAAATACTAGACAAACAACATTAGATGTAAATTGTTTGTAAATCATCATCAAAATAAGAAGGCCAACACCGTGCAAACCACTTTAAAGTAGGATCATTATACAGGAATCACTTTTTATTTTTTATTTATACATAAATCATCTTTAAAGTAGATTTTGTTTCAATCAACCATCTCCTAATCAAATGTTCGCTAAAAAAACAAAAATAAGGTTTAAAATGCGCATTTAAGATATGTAACTTGTAGCCTAGCTAGACCTAAACATGAACAAAATGAGTCAAGTGTTCTGAACGTAAAGCTTTTAAGGATTTTTTTTTTCAATGAAATTTTTGACTAGGAGGTGATTGATTAAAAAAACTCATTTTAAAAATGATTTTTTTGTAATCACTTTACAGATGGTTTAAGTACAAATTAAAAATAAAAAGTGTTTTTCGTATAATGATTCTATTTTTAAGATGATTTTAAAGAGGAAAAAATAATAAATAAATAAAGAGATGCTTGCAGTAATCCTGAAAACTGAGAAGGAATAAGTCTGAGCAGTAGATAAATGTTCCTTTTCCCTATGTAGCAGTAGTTGCAAACTCGCAGCGACGCCATACTGATGCTTCATCCCCTTTATATACCAAAATATTTCGGAAATATGTGTATATACCATTCAAAAATATTGCCAAATTAAATTTACTATATTTGTAGTTCTATTTTGCAAGTGGACCCCCTGACAGAGTGAAATCTTTTTACAACAATAGATTTTCACTTATGGGGTCTATCTACAATGGATGTCAAATGAGTGGTTTTGGTTGGATCTTGGTTGAGTCATAAATAGGTGGGCACATTTATGATCATTTGATCATTTATGACCCATTTAGCATTTGCTAAATGAGTCACTTCTCATCCACCCATTTACTAAATGGGTGGTTCATGGGTGACCCAATAACCCATTTAGTTATGATCACTTCTCATCCACCCATTTACTAAATGGGTGGTTCATGGGTGACCCAATAACCCATTTAGTTATGATGCTTTTATATATATCTAAATGGGTGGTTCATGGGTGACCCAATAACCCATTTAGTTATGATGCTTTTATATATATGTAAGTTTTAGGGATCTACTTACAAACTTTCAGGGGCTTTTCTGTAAAGTGTAAACTTATAGAGGGTTTTTGGTAAACTTTCAGGGTTTTCTGTAAACTTTAGCTTCAATTAGAAGCAAAATATCAAGATTAATTATTCATAACACTTATGTTTATTTAAGCATTTCTTGTTGAAATATGAATGGAAACTATTTCGCTACTTCACACAATTATTGTTTAAACTTATACAACTGTCACAAATTATGCAGCAGATGGTAAAAATAAAGTATTAGATTTCGACGGATAAAGTTATTATATTGTAAATAAAAGGAGCGTGTAAATAAAGCTAAAAATATAAAAATAATTAATAGCTTTGATTTATTATATATAAGAATCATACAGAAGATTACAAATGATACATCAATCCTTATTATTATATATTTGATAATTACATTCCTAAATAATTAAATAATAATCCAGTACTCAAAATTTGTAAATCAGATATAACGTATGAAGCTAGTAAATTGATGATAAATCTGATAGAACATCTAAAATCAGTGGAAATACACAATCACTCATAAATGCATATACAAGTCTTAAATATTTCTCAAAAGTAGAAGCACAAGAGTCCTGATAGAAAATTAAGAGGAAGGATTTTACATGCTTAAAAAGTCTCACACTATCAAATTAACGCAAATCTTATAGTAAATAAAAATTAGTCCTGCTCTAAAATAATAGCTTCCATATCAAGGGTTTGAATCAAACTTTTGGCAACTCCCCTTCAATCAGTTTTAGTACAAAAAAAGAAGTTCCAATATTAAATCATGTCTGGTAAAAAAAAAACTAGATCATGTTTTATAAACTGGTCTAATTAGATCGTTTTTCGACTCTAACATATTTTGTTTTGTCACATCTCCTCTTTGATCCAGACCTAAACTAGTTTAGATCAAAAGCCAGCCCTAGTATAAATTACAAGGAGGAGGAAGATAATTTTCTACTCTGAAAAGATCAAAAGTAATAGCATTAAGTCAAACAGTTGTATGATACTAATTACAGCTGATTTCGATCAAAAAAAAACAACCAAAAGTATATCTACTGCTCTTGCATGTGGTTTATGTTCCACTTCTTCTCAAACAAAAAAACAGTCGTAAGATACTAATTACAGCTGATTTCGTGTCTCTCTTTTTCACATAGCAATGAAATGAACAGGGATGTTCCCTTATTTTTATACTCAAACAAAAAATTGGGTTGAGAGTTGTCAAACTGACCCCAAACTGTTTCGCTGCCTATAGGCCTTCAACACATAGGGCTATGGTCGAGGCCCAGTAGGCTAAGCCCACATACAAAGTTCTGATCGATACAGGGGATGGCCCAGACCATTATTTAAAGGGCTAGTAATTCTCACTTCGACTGATGTGTTTTTAGCTGAGGATGCCTGCAGAAGGATGTAAATAAAAGGTGTAAATAACCCTTGAGCCACAAAAGGCTGATAGGAGAGTGTCATTCCCTGTGGTTGATCTTTTACTGCAATCAGAACTGTAACAAGTAGGAGGATGGCACCTAGAAAATATATATATATATATATATATATATATGAGAAAGACACCTAGTGCGAAATAACTGTACATATGGTATCCTTTTTTAATGCCTAATTGCACTTAAATAACCTATAGTTTCCCCCTACTTCGCACTTATATAACCTCACTTGTCCTAAAGTTTTAAAACTTACCATCACTTATCTTGGCAGTATACCGTAAAGTTCTAAAACTTGCACTTAACTTTAGGGTATATATAACTTCAAGTTTAAAAAACTTTAGGGCGTGTAAGTGGCGTCGAAAACATGTGAGGGTATATAAACGCAAAGTAGGGATAACAATAGGGTGTATAAGGGCAATTTAGCCTTTTTTTTTTAAAGAGAAAAATGTTGAAATATGTCAGCTATAAACCATGATCAGTACGGTTGCTTGTAGGTTTGCACTGTGCTAGAAGACAAGCGAGTTGCTTTCATTGGAATATATTTTTTACTATATAAGAGAGCAGTGTACTTGTACCAGAAATTGTAGCTATATATCTATCTATCTAGAGCACCAAGGGCTTGAATAGTGACATGCAGAAAGATGGCCTTCCTCTTTGTTGCAGACTGGAGACTGCTACTAATTATTGAATGCACATCTTCATCTTCAGTAAAGTTTTAATATTGCTAGCCTGCAGATTTAATTTAACCACTCGATCATTTGCCTGTTTTGGGTGAAAGTGGTTATACATATAGTTTCCTGCTTGTACTCATAATATGGGTGGGATTGACAGGTTTCTATCTTTAGGAAAGCACAAGTAAAACTTCTGACCTCATGGAATCACATAATTTCTCTTAGATTTAGGGGCCATTAGATTTTTGCACCTCCTTTTTTTTTTTTTTGAGAAAATGCTAACAATATACCGGCCCCCTCGTTGTTCATTAATAAATATTTAACGGAACATTCCCAAAAGTCAACAAAAGT